GGGAACCTGGTATGTGCCCACTTCTGTAATAATCCACGAAACTGACTTTGGGCTTCGCTGGTACAATGGCAGCGCATTCATGCGAAATATGACGATCTTTCCCAACCGGCTTCTCTACAATAAACTAAATAATGCATTTCTCGCTGTGACATTGGTAAATCTTTGTATTGATTCCCGCCGTAACAACCGGAACACAAGGCTCTGATGTTCCGAATTCATTAAGTAGTATCGCATGTCAACAGCTGAATGTGCAATTGTGCTGCACCTCGCCTCTCTAATGATACCGCACAAAAGACGAAAAATGAGAAGAAAACGTTTCCATATTATTATTTTTATATTATTCTTAGTGGGGTGAGATTGAGTCCACTTGGTACTGCGGCCACTTCTGGCCGATTGTACCAGCCCCAGATGATAAATGATGGTGGTTGCGGAATAAAAATTGGCAGGGGAAACCGAAGTACTCGGAGAAACCTGTCCCAGTTCCACTTTGTCCACCACAAATCCCACATAACCTGATCCAACCTCGAACCCTGGCCGCCGCGGTTGGAAGCCAGAAACTAACCGCCTGAGCTATGAACGGCCACGTTCCCATGTGAACTCTTTACGGTATTTAATTTCCAGTTGATTCTCTTTTAACTTGGCATGCGCGCTTAGGTAAACCTGAGGGTTTGCGCGTAGGGCGTTCTTATGTTTACTTTTACATCCCATCTGTTTACGGGCTGCAATAAAGGAATGTACATATAAGTGATATTTCTGTGCGGGACGCAAGATACCGGTCATAGTGAGTTGTAACAACTGAACTAAACACGTTTACTCCACTTATTTTTGTATTTTAGGTAACTTATAAAATTATACGTGTGTACACCGTGTGTCCAGGATCCGTTAGGATTATTTTTTTTTTATTTTGCTCTGCAATGCCATCTGCTGGCAAGTTGTGGCATTAAAATTCTTGAAGTTTCAGCTGTGGCTGTCTATACCGTATTTACGCATGTATAGGCCGCACATTTTTTGCCAAAAATTCAAGAGGAAAACTGGGGTGCGGCTTATATTCGAAATATTCGAAATCACGCTTCATTTAAAAAATTATATCCATAATTAGTAATACAGGGTGTTCTACTCCTGAAATAATATTCCAAGAAAATTATTTTTTCTATAATTTCTGGCTGAAAATTGTGCTGCGGCCTATACACGCACGCGGCCTATACATGCGTAAATACGGTAATTTCAAAGCGCAAGCATCGCTGCATCATGTGCTCTGACCTTGAATGTAACATTACTGTTCTAACGCTCGGAAAATGGCGGTTGAACAGAGAGCCAACATCAAATTTTGTTTGACGTTAGGCAAAACAGACAGAGAAGCGTACGAAAGGATGAAAAGTGTGTACGGTAGTGACTGTTTGAGTCGCTCGAAAATTTTTTTGATAGTATGCTGTATTTCATGACGGCAGGGAGGACATTGAAGACGCTCCACGTGCATCAACGCCGAGAACAATTCGCACTGAAGAAAATGTGAAAAAAGTGACCGGACCGAAATCCTTGCATCAGACAGATGTGTTTCTGCAGGACTCGTCGCGGAGCTTTTGGGAATACAAAAAGTACTGTGCCCCAAATTTTGACTGAGAATTTGGGCAAACGGAAAGCCTGTGCGCGGTTTGTACTGCACGCGCTGTCAGGCGATGAAAAACATGCCAGAGTGTAACACTGCAAAGACATGTTATGGTCGGCCCAAAGTGATACAAAATTTACAAAATCGATTGTTACTGGTGACGAGACATGGTGTTTTCAATATGAGTATCTCACAAAGCGGTAGAGTGCAGCGTGGCTGAGCCCAAAGAAGCCAGCCGAAACCAAAGAAAGTGCGCATGCAGAAGAGTCGAGTAAAGACACTGCTAACCGTTTTCTTCGACTCAAAAGGAATCATTCACAAGGAATTTCTGCCAGAAGGTCAAACAGTGGATTCTGATTACTATCTCGGAGTCCTCAGCCGTTTGTGGGCGAGAATTCTTCGAATTCGACCTGAATATCGAGAGCAAGGTTCCTGGGCGCTCCTCCACGACAATGCCCCACCCCACAAATCGAAGATCGTGCGCGATTTTTTGGCCAAGCAAGGGATCACAGTCTTTGATCATCCTCCGTATTCGCCAGATTTGGCTCCAGCAGGTTTATGGTTGTTCCCAAAAGTTAGGTTGGCGATGAAAGGAGACCGCCACAACACTATCCAGGACATCCAAAGGGAATGTACCGCAGTTTTAAATGCGATTCCACAAAAGGAGTACAGTGACTGTTTTCGAAAACTTTTCAATCGATTCAAGCTATGTATTGATTCAGAAGGAGACTATTTTGAATAAAAAGAGTGAAATTTTGAAAATAATTCACATCTTGTATTTTTAATGAACATAGTCCTAACAGAACATGGACACACTGTGTATGTGTGTATGTCATTCAAAATATGCGCTGGAATAAAATTAAGAATTTTGCCCTGAAGATGACAGACATGATATGTCGCAGTACCTTGGATTAATATTAAAGACACTATCGCGGGCAGAAAATAGATATTGTGTACGTATGTGTAGTGCCAACTAAGGGATGCTTATCCTTTGTATCCAACAGTTTGCCGCAATTTCATCAGCCCAGATTTAAACACTGGCAGCATTTTCTTATGTTCATAGATTTCGTGTATGGTTCTTCGCAGCACATAAGAAGAGTCAAAATTTGTATACGGTCGAGGCCGGATCTGATTTCCTTTTGGTGTGCTATGTGAGACGGTTGCCCCACAGACTGACGGACATCTCCCACCAACCTCCTACTCCTCTGTCAACCGTGTCAGGACCCTTCCAGTAATGAGAGAGAAGGAGTTACGTTAAGACTGGCGGTTTACGCCAGTCATTTCATCTTGGTGGCAAGCCCCTTGAGGATCACGGCCAGAGATTTTTTTTTTTTTTGCAATTGAACCCTCGCGGTTATAGTCCTTACGTAACTGCCTCTCTGACGAGACGATGGGGTTGCTTGGCCTTTGTCACATGTACGTATCACACATGTAGCATGCTACTGAAGATTCTTCCTTTGCATTACATACAAGTTAAAGTCAAGTCAAAGTCGGTGTCAAGTACATATCTGGGACCCAAGTCAAGATTCTTATTACTGTCGGACAGTTGAGGTGTTGTTGAAAGCAAAGGTCTGTGTTTACAATTACTGCTGGTCCTCGCCAGCGCACTCATTCTCGAGTTAGGGTCCCGCTGGACTCAGGACCATGTTTCACTGTCTCAGATTCGAGATTCCCCCAACCTGGAGGGCCAGGTTCCCGTATTTACATGCCCAGAAATAGGGTGGCCCAGTCATACCCCCAGGCACTGGGTTCCCTTTTCGTCACCTCCTACGACTCGCAGGGCTACGGCGAAGGTATTCGAACCCACCTCCACACGGATTACTGAAACCTGACTCCTCGGCATGGACCGCTCAGAGAACACCGCTTCCAAAAGCTCTTTTATTGTTGCGTGCGTGTCGTTTCGGCCATTGCCTGACAACGGGAGTGTTTGCAGAGCAGTTCCCTAGCAACGGTCGTCTCTGCTGGCTTTCAGCAGACATGCCATAATATGAACCAGCCGTAGTCACAAATATTTTGAGAATCAACCATTAGTGTGGCTACTCAGGCAAAGATATTCATTACAAAATCTAATCATTTGAATGGAAGGCTGAGTGCCGACACTTACCGCCACTCTTCTGTACCCTTCGTAACATGGTACACAAGAACACGGGAAACTTTTAATTATAGTTCCGAAATGGAAAACATGAGTGGAATAGAACTATGATGTCTTGGAAGATTTGGAAACTGCTTAACTATTAGACGTAATTAAAATTGTAGACTTAAAAGTCGATGCATTTGTTCTATAGACGTTGTTTAGAAGCAATGGCGGAAGAACAGTGTGATGATCCGTTGCAGCCCAGCCATAAAAATGATTTGCTGCAGACCGGATAGCCAAGGTTCGTTTCTCTGAATCGCTACTGTGCTCAGACCGACTCTGTGAACCAAACAATTAGGTTAACAATGCCAGTCGGCCTCACAACACTTTGTTTATTCACAGGGACATTTCTAACGTTCCTTATGGAAAGGCACATTTAAAGCAGGCGATACATTTGAGAACTTGTTAACAATTTGTGAGAAGTATAAGCCTGCAGATGAAAGGCGTCGCGATATTTTAATTAAATCTAGCCACATTTGGTTCATCCGATGTTGGACGAAGTCGTACAGACCTAGGTGAACAGACTTTTCTTGTTTACTTATTTCGACACGTGTTGTTGTAAACATGGAAGCATGAGTTACCACGAATTGCCTATTTATATACTAAGAAGCAGGAGACATGGCTGACTGAAACTTTATTATAAATCACAGACATGACTAGAGTGTGCTAATCGGTGCAACAATGTAAGATATTGCTGATATATTTATAAACTTCAACAGGCTGTCAGAAATCGATTTCGAACCATCCAGATATGTAGGTTCATAAGTAATTTTATATAGTTGCTTCTAAAATAAGTCTTAAAATTTTTACCTTTTTGTGTTACCTACCAAGCTATTATACAATTTTGGCTAACGTCTGCAGATACTCCTATTTTTATTCTTATATTCTGCCCTGTTTATATTCCGTGACGATGTATTTTGGAAGTTCTTTTAAAAAATTTTCACTAGTTGGAGTCCACGACATTTCTAATTATTGCATAACACCACCACCTGTTCTTATAACTTGTCTGTGGTTGCCCGGGGATTCCCGGTGGCCGTTCCACACGCTTCATATCAGTGGCAGGGCGAGCATCATACGTCAGACAACCGTTTCTTCCAGCGGCGGCACAGATCAGCACTAAATGACATGGCTCCATTCTCTGAAAATAGATTCGGAAGACGCGATTTTGAGAGAAACGTCGCCCCTTCTAATCGAACATTAACAAGACCTTCACGACACAGCCTCAGCAACAAATAGCCTATACAGGATGTTATGTTTCAGGTGCTGCCAGGCCTGTACGTCGGTAATTATCGGGATTCGAAGGATGCCTCTCAGCTAGAACGCTTCGAAATCACACACATCGTGGCTATACACGACGCGGCTAGAAAACTGCATCCCGTGAGTAGACATGAGGGTACCACGTTGATCAACGAGCTCGAGGAGACTTTTGGAGAACAGTGCCCTAAAGAGATCAGAACGGCATACAATTAAGTACATTTCTTTGAAGAAATGATTCAGAACGAATCTAAGAGTAATTCGCATCTCTGATACTGGCTCTGCTGCTGAGGAGTTCGTGCTTTACCCCAGTCATTCCAAGAGAATGGAGTCCGGATGAGCTATGATACTGCCATGTCCGTTTCCTTCCACATCCGCACCAATTCACCGTGCATACCCATTGCACTCTTAGTTGACGCTACATAACTTTTCAGTTCATAAAATGACGTAAAATATCTTACGGATAAATAGTGATAAGTAAACGCCGAGGAAGAAAAAGTCTGCTGAAATCTAGTGTCTCTCTATGTCTCTCTTTACCCCTATATCCCCGAGGACGTGTTTTCTCCGTATTTTCCTGTTTCTCTCAATCCCGGAGATCACGTGTTATGATTCTTAAAGCCTTCTCCGTTTTGTCAGAAAGGAGGTGGCTTGTAACCTCCAAGATGTAGGAATTATACCCATAAATAGGATTATAAAAGACGGTAATGATTCTGGGGGTATATAAACACGAGAGTTCATCTTCAGAAGTTGCATAGCCGTCAGAGAAGGTGGAAAGGGGACCCGCCATTTGTAAAAATGCGGTCATGGCTATTCTTTCGTTCTTTGTTTCGCTCTTATTTTCAATTCTTAAATTCATCTCTTATCTGTTTCACTTTTAATATTTAATTTGTATTTCATCTCTCCACCTGTCATGCAGGACAAGCACTATCTCTGTGTGATGGCGTCCGACACTCCTGACCAAAACCTGACGCAGTACTTCTCGCTCTGCAATGACTTCATCCATGCGGCCAGACTGCGAGGCGGCAACGTGCTCATACACTGGTGAGTGAATGCTTTATGCCCTATCGATTAGGTACAACCCGCCTTCTTATTCGGGAGATCCTGGACTCGAATTGTGCAATTTCTTTGTCCGTGCACAGGTCACGACCTCGTTCTCTGCCGTAATTTCCGGTCCACCATACATAACAATTCTTTAACTACATTCAGTGCTTGCGAAACACCGTGCCACTCAGACTAACCAGTGAATCAGTTTACTGTGGGCCAATTCTATCGTGCTATTTCCTAATCCAATTGTTATCAGAGCGGAGATGACAGGTAAAGGTAACTTTATCCCAATATTTAACTATGTAATTAAGCTCTATGCCAAGAAGACATATGGTGGAGTAGAGGTATAACTCAAGTATTCCTAACCTGGGCACTAGATGGAGGTCAGCTTCATATTCCCACCGATTTACCCCCGCGGATAGGCTCCCCGGTACCCATTGGATAGGAGGCTGGGTGGGCCCCAGAGCCGGTCTCGACGCTATGGAGAAGATAATTTTTTCGTCCCTGCCGGAAATAGAACTCCGGCCGTCTAGCCGACAGGGAAAAACGAGAAATACTTGCATAACTCAGGCGGCCGATTGAAGACCAAGAACGAGATTAAAGAATAGATTCAAGATGGATGTCAATGAAATAGCTTGTAAAGACAACGTGGATGGAATTGGCACAGAATTCAGTAACTTTCTGAACAGAGCCAGATCCCAACTTTCCTATCGGAACGAGTCCAACGTTTCATGGCACAAACATGGTTGAAATTGTTGCATCGACTGCTCGGGGGTTTTCCCTGCCACGCCACGCCACGTCAGTGAAGTCAGGTCTATAAACCTAATACAAACTTCTGATATGGCACTTCAGCTATCTATACGAACATAACATTTCACTGGGGCAAGCGGATATTAATCACCCACAAAACATAATATTTGTCACAGGACCTGTAATTACGTAAGAAGCCAGTTTAGTCTCCGTTTACTATCGACTGGAACAATGTAATGAATAGCGTTCTTCAAGGGGGAAGAAAATATTTGTTGCTTTATGGATGTGCATAAGAAAATGTGACTTCGTTTAATTTGTGAAATAGATCCGCTAGGCAAAGGAAAAAAGAGAAAACGGAAAGGAAATGGGAGAAATAAACTGAAAAGTAAAATGGAAAGAGGTGAAGAGATATTAGAAATATTAAAGGAGGAAAGCAGAAACGAATGGAAGGAACAGAAAGAGAAACGGGTGCATAGGATCGATCCGGCTCGTGGCTCTGCGGGCTACGGGCCTTGCAGTGATTCTCAGGCTTCTGGAGCCTACGCACCCCTAGCAACACACTGCACGCTCAACGTCCCCTCATCCCTCCAAATTCAAATTATCTGTTTATCGACTTGAGACAGATTTAAATAAAACTGTGTATTTAAAATTGTCTTTTTTTTTTCCTTGGCACTACAGCCCCAGTGGGCCTAGGCCTACCTCCATGAACTTATCCGATCACAAAATGACTTAATGCTTGTACCATATTTACAAAATGTTTAATACCCATAACAATATATTACTTACTCGTATTTAAATGGTTTAATGATAAAATGGATTGATCGCCATTATGTAACTAGCTTAGACATCCGTACGGAATTTCGCGTCCAAAATATTTTTTATGCCAGAGCACAGTATGCACGGCAGCACAGGTACGTGCCACATTTCATAACCTGAATATCTTTTGGATCAACAATTAAATTTCAAGCCATAGCAAAATACGCCGCTGTCTCGTTTGCATTGTTTCTTCCTTAATTTAACAACTTATCGCTGGAAGTTCAGAAGGTTATTTTGAAAATCAGCAGGTAACTTTTGACAGATGGATACTCTCTGCCTGAGTCACAGTCCTTTAGGAAACATGAACATGTCGCAACAACTTCATCCAGCTTTAAATTTTATTTTTCCAAGTGATTTGTCAGTTTCTGTTTCCTTTTTTCGCACAGCCAGTCGCGTGATGGGCATTACTTTTGCATGCTCCTCTATGAGTCTACTGCCTAGACTCTCATGAATCTGGATTGTGCTGCTAACCACTGATAGACGTAGAAAACCTAGTACGTCCATCACAACTATTTTACTTCCATTTGTGACCTATCTAAAGATTCTCCCTTGTACAACGTAATTTTTCAACATGGACTACTAGATGTCATCAAATATGAGACGCGCCCCGAATTCAGAATTTGAAAAATGCAAAGAGAAATTCGTTTTAGAATGGAGGAAATGCGGAGTTTACAAGAAGGATGGTAGGACTTAGTGTAGTAATCATCGAGACATATCACTGCTACCAGTTTCTTATAAATTCTATTCAGTATCCTCCTCTCAAATTTAAGTCCATTCATAGACAAAATTATTGGGGACCACACACAAATGCGTCCGCAGTAAACGAACGTTAACAGAGAACAACGCAAACACTCAAAGGACATGCAGATTCTAAAGGCTTCTGACGATGGTGTATAACACTCGTAATTGTTAGGTTTTTGCAATTCTTCTTTCGTCCATTCTAGAGACTAGAAAACAGGACGTGCCGGAAACTGGATCTCTTTCCGTCTTGAGGTGAGAGGGGAAGTCACCTGCTTAGTTGGGTCCCTTAGAAAAAGCTAACTTCAATTGTTCCACTGATCGAGATTAGCACTTTCTAAGGGACCCAACTAAGCAGGTGTCTTCCCCTCTCACCTGAGGACGGAAAGAGATCCAATTTCCGACACGTCCTGTTTTCTAGTCCCTAGAATACTGGACGAAAGAAAAATTGCAAAAACCCAGTAATTCAGCTCAAAGAATATACGTAGTTGACATATATGTGTAAGCCTACTCCATTTCTGAATAGGTCTAATGAAACAATTTTAGCTTATGGCATTTCGTAAATTTTGTTACATAGTTTAAATATAGACAACTGGAAACTTTCTTTCTCGATTAATACTCGTGGAATAGCAAATATGTCTATATAGTATCCTGCCTCTTCATTTGAGTACAGTGACACAAGGCTTGGACATTGCTATTCTCGTTAATGGTTTCCATGCTTTCATATCAACTTACAGTTGCATATTTCAAAATGGCAGGAACTCTAGATAGGCTCGTGGGCCACGTAAATCTGCTTTTGTGGTTACTTGGGCCTTGTGATGTACATAAACTTCATTGCTCTTTGCAAGTACTCGTGTTTTACTGCAGTGACGTCACGTGAAGCGTCAGATGTTAAGCACTCGCAACCATAAGGACTCCTTAGAGACCACATCCCTGGAAATACAAGTACTGTACAGGGCTGTAATCAAGGGGTGAAAACTAACCAATTAACTGGAAGAACAAAGATTTGGTCTGAACTTTCCAAGCATGTTAATGTTCTATGGAGTTACCTATGTCTCTCACGGTCTTTTCGCTCGCTCGAAAGCCGGGATCGTGGTTTCGAATCCCACATGTGGATGTTTGGCATGTGTATGTGTTGTCCTGTGTTCAAGCAGAGGCCTTGCGACGAGCTGATGACTCGTCCAAGGAGTCCTACCGTCTGTAAAATGATCAACATATAAGAAAGCTCGACACCGTAAATGTATAGGAGGAAAAGATTAAGTAAAAAATAAGGAGTTACCTATCATAGTATTTCCCTGGAGGGGCTGAGGAAAAATAAAAAATACTGTTGACTTTCCTCGCGAAAGTTCGAATAGCGTATCTTAGAAATTAGAATTTAACTCAAAAATGGAATTTTTTAAAATTTAAATGCCTGATTCTTCAGCAGGTTCACTCACAATCTCACACTTGAGATTATCACTTTTAAACACGTTGAAAACATTTTATCATGTTTTGCTTGTGAGCACAAGTCAATGTTTTATGTTCTATAAAACAGAAAATTGAAATGTTTAGAGCGAACTAGGCTGATTATGTTAAAACGTTCAACAATAGACATTGTTACAATTGCTGTTAAAAGCAAGGAATATATTAAATTAAAACAGAAGGCCGCGCCATAGCTCAAGCGGTTAGTCGCTAGCTTCCCACCGCGGCGGCCTGGGATCGACCCCGGGTCTGGTCAAGTGGGATTTGTGGTGGACAGAGTGGAGCTGGGGCAGATTTTCTCAGAGTACTTCGGTTTCCCCTGCCAATCTTCATTCCACAAATTGCTCCACAATCACCCACACCTATCATCTGGGGCGGGTACAATAGGCCAGAAGGGGCCACAGTACAAGGGACTTAGTCCCACCCCACTAGCAATAAAGAAAATTAAAACAGAAGTTATAACGTTCATCAGAACAAACCTACGAATTACTCGTATTTTTACTACCAGAAGAGATGTAACAGCATTACAATCCAACGTGGAAAGACTGAAATGGTAAACTTGACTTTGTACGGGTGGTATCATTTTAAGTAAAAATCCATTAAATTAAATTTGATTTCATTTATCCTGGCCCATCACACTAGCAATATTATAAAAGGTTATCAACTCTTTCCAGTGTGATTGATAAATGTTTTTCTTTTCTCCTTTTCAATTTTTCATCCTTGACATGTTTCGATCTGAAAGACCATCTTCAGAAAGACATCAATACAAGCGGATACTGTTACAATGTGAATGGCCAGTATCAATACATACATACAATATCATTACAATGTCATGAATATAAAAGCTGAGCCTTTAACAACTACAGAAATGTGCATGAATGTATTACAATATTTATAAACTATTATAATTAGTTTATTTACAAGTTTGGTTTAAAAGCCTTTGTTAAAATTTAGAACCAATTTGGTTCGTGGTACACACTGAACTTCCTTTAAAGAGAGGCAGTACAAAGTACACGAGCCAAATTGGTTCTGAATTTTAACAAAGGCTTTTAAACCAAACTTGTAAATAAACTAATTATAATAGTTTATAAATATTGTAATACATTCATGCACATTTCTGTAGTTGTTAAAGGCTCAGCTTTTATATTCATGACATTGTAATGATATTGTATGTATGTATTGATACTGGCCATTCACATTGTAACAGTATCCGCTTGTATTGATGTCTTTCTGAAGATGGTCTTTCAGACCAAAACATGTCAAGGATGAAAGATTAAAAAGGAGAAAAAAACATTTAACAATCACACTGGAAGGAGTTGATAGCCTTTTATAATCCAAGAAATTAAGTAAGTCAAATAGTCCTTTACAAAAAAAAACTGTAGCTGTGGTCCACAAGTTAATCTGACTGAGCAACTGCCGCTTGTCAGCGAAGTGAGTGCCAACTTTTTGCACATAGAGGGTGTCACATGGTCAGCACAACAGATCCCCATGGCCGTTAATCTCGGTTTTCTAGACTAGAGTCACTATTTCCTTGAAATAGCTCCTCAAATATCATCAAGAGGCTGAGCAGACCACGTTCCAGACACACTACTTCTCAGAAATTGTGATAGCGCCGGGAATCGAACATGGGACGTCTGAATCTGTAGGCAGGAACTCTGACCACTAGACCACGGAGGCTAACAGTCCTTTACAAAAATCTGAAAAGCCCTTGTAATGTAAATGGTATTTGCAATCATAAAATGCACCTCAGAATTCAGTGCTTAAATATCAACTTTATTATTAGAATATGCACTTTTAATTGTTGTGTTATGTATTCCCATGGTAAAACTGGCGATTATTGTGGTGCTGACAGCCTTGCAGGCATGTCTCGCAGCGTGACGGTGGCTGTAGCCTACATAATGAGTGTCACATCGCTCAACTGGAAGGATGCCCTCAAAGTAGTGAGAGTAGGACGTGCTGTCGCCAACCCCAACTTTGGCTTCCAGAAGCAGTTGCAGGACTTCGAGACATTCAAGCTTGCAGAGGTACTGTTGTGAATGTCATCCAGAATTTAGAGAAATTTGGCACCCATACAGGCAAAAGCCACGGTAGCTTGCATTACTTTCCTGTGTTAGAACACTGTGCTTATGACTAATTAATCAACTCCAAGGAGCAGTCATTTGGAAGCTTTTGAATATATCTGCTGGCTTTTTTGGAACATAAAAATCTGAGGCCCAGTGTAACTTTCTGTAACATGCCAGTTATTTTTCCTACTTACCCCTTACCATTAAAATTAAAAAACTATCCCTTAACAGCTATTCCCATCTGCTTATTCCACATATTTGCAATTACCCTCCATATCTGGAGGTCATCTGCAGCCTGAGGACATAGTTCCAACAGACTACTTTAAGTAGATTATTCCCCCCCAAAAAAGCAGTTTGTATCTGGAAAAAGTATCACTTTTGTTTCAACTAGAACCAAACTTTACTTTATGTCTCTCACCTCAAATGGACACAAAAAGGCAGCAAATAGACAGAAGTGTTGCAACATCAAAATGACACACTATTACTCTACTATGAGTTACCATTCTGAATACTGTTTTCATTACACAGTTGGCATCTTTATTTCAGGAGCGACGACGACTCAAAGAGAGATATCCAAGCCTTGCACTAATGTCACAGGATGAGGAGCAATGCCATCTCATGCTCTCTTCATACCAAAGCCTCATCCTGTCCCGTGACCTCTGTGAAGGGGACTGTGCCATGGGGCAAACGTGTCCCACAGGCATGTGCCATACACCTACTAAGAGGTCAGTTCCTTACTGCTCTTAATGTTTCACTTGGTTTCGTGGAGAACATTCTGCAACTTGCTAATTCTTTTATCTTCATTATCTGTATGTGGACATAAGGTTTGCAGATGATAAGTGACTTTGCTTTTTTACTTTAATTATAAAATTTCACTCTGTCAAATATAAAAATATTTGAGAAACACGATTTTGTCCCTACCAGTCTGTTTATGGGCTCTGATATAATTTATGACACTTCAGAGGGTGTGATGAGAAGGGTGTGACACACCATTGTGCTACTGTTACATTTTGCAAAAAGACAGATACGACTGTGACAGTCATGTAATTTGCTTTGCAATGTGTGAATTGAAGACAATTGTCGATTGTCTATGTTGTCAAAAATTTTATTTGCCCAGATGGTCAAGAACATTATGTAACATTCTTATGGACATATCATTTAATGTGTTGCTGCTTACAGGATACTTAGGCGCAAATCCAGTGCTCATGGTACTACACCCCCCGAATCTCCACGCATGCTGCCCCCAACACCCAGCATGATTTGCAGTAGTACCATTCTCAGCCGGCGTCCCCGGAGTGGGCCAGCAGGACTACACTCTTACACTGGATCAGCTCCCCCATCCCGCTCCGGGTCACGAACTGATGTGACAGAGCTTCCACCTGGTGTTATGAATTGGCAAGATCGACATGCAGGTTCTGCCCCCACCACTCCCATGGCCTCACCCCCTACATCACCAAGGCATTGGACACGCAGAGCATCAAATCTTGTTCGCAAACGAAGCAACACATAACAAACTCTGCACATTATGCATTTATGACCGTCCTTACATTGTGCACTAGGCTGATAACTTCATCTTTCATACTGGCTGATACACAAGATGGTAGGCTGTGCAGCAGCAGGATTTTCAATTGGGCAATGTAAAACTAGGGTTCATAACTGCTGCCATGAAACTCTCACAGAACATATCTTTTCTTTTACATGAAGTGTTTTAGGTGCCTGTTTTTGAAAATGGAAGAACAGAGATCCATGCATGACATTTTACACAGACAATTGGTGATTACAAGACACAGTGTTTGATGTATGAGAATACAATGAACTGTTAGTAAAGGTAAAAATATCCATATGCACAGTATCAATTCCTATTCATAATTAAACATTTCAATGCCTCAGGAATCAGGGAATTTATATGCAACAAACTGCCATCCCGTGTGTCAATGACTTGTGGTTCCCAGTATCTGGCAAGATCTGGATCTGTCCCAATGTTCCCCTGGATGAAAGACAGGAACCACAAAGTTTGTTTTCGTTCAGATATAAAAATGTGCTGCAGTATGACAGTGAGATAGTTTCATGTTAACAAATGTTGCAATGAACCTCTGTTCATACTATATTTTCTTATTTTCTTGCTGCTGCTGAGTGTAACATAGAACATACCATTCTATTCAATGCAATAGCTCGAGCCACAATGTTTTGACTCATCGGCTTACAATCTGCACATTCGAAGCCTTCCTGCCACATCTTCAGGTTAAGCCATCACTCGACATTTTTATACCTACCTCTTCTTAGCCTACTGTGCTATCACAAAGTGTTCTGTAGTGAGATATAGTGAACCATGCCATATATATATTACATTCATTTTTCTTTTTGGTGTATGAAGTCAAAATTTATACCCTTTGTTACTTTGTATTTTCATAAACTTTTGCTGTTTTGGGGTTGCAGATATTTTAGCCAAGCAGCTGAATGCTATACAGGAATATGTTGTTATTAAAAATAGCAAGATTTCAAGAGAAGAGGCTCCATGATCCATTCTTAATTATGTAATGTTCAGAACACCAATTTCAGCATTTTAGGTAAATAAAATTAATAATTTTAAAGACTTGCATTAGTTGAAATTAGTGTTACTTTTGTCTTCAATCTTATCATTTTTCAAATTAAACAGATGTACTCAAGATACTGTGGTCAGGGCTTTAATTTTTCCTCATGATTTATGAAACTGTGGGCAATAATTATTGAGTGATGGAATAACTCAGTTGGTATGGTTATATGCAACAAGTAGCTCAACAAAGAATTCAATCAACAACTTCAAACTAAATTAACTGCACTAACAAAACTTATTCTAATCCAGCTGCAGTGATTATATTACCAAGACCAAATTGCTTGATCCTCATTTATGAGAATGGGATGCACTACATGAAGGGGTACTTATACAACAATATTATTGTTGTTTAATCTGATATTAAAAGTGAAACACCATACTTTTTGTGTACATAATATATATTCTGGGCAATAAATATGCTACCATGACACAAAATCAGTAAAGAAATTAAACAAGAACATCTGTTTACCTTCAGAACACCACATTCTACAATATAAATGCAAATCCTGAATATCGGTTTATTTTGGGAAAATTTGGAGAAACTAAGCTCTATATACTCATACATACAAACACTGATGGCAGACAACACTGTAAAGGTGTGTCACAAGCATCACAACACACAGACAAGCAACATCAACTACCGACAGACAACACACGTCAACAACATCCCGAAGCAAAAAGATTGGGCCAAGCGGGAAAGAATTCTAGGGATTTTAAGAATTCTTACTTCAAATAACGAAACATAATTTTACACAATTAACGACGAATCGAATAAGAAAGCTACTGTGGTGTGTGAAAAACTTTTAGTGAACCGACACTCTGGGTAATTTTAACTATTTGTAATTATTTTAATTAACTGGAACGTGGCTATCTTGGACAAAGTGAAGTTTTGTGTGTTGGTGATTTCTTTTTCTACTATAAATGCCTCTGATGATGGCTCCGTGGTGAGCCGAAACATGTAAGGCAGGTGGTGACGAGGTGGAAAACTTGAAAAAAGTGTCACATTTGACGGAAGGAACTTGATTGTTAATTGGTTAGTGTGACGGACCAGAATGAAAGACCTTAAAAATAAAAGCATTTGGTTTCTCTTAATTAACTCAGTGAAAACAGAAGTCTGTTTCCCAAAGATAACATCCGACAGATGACCACCATTCTATCGTAGGCACTCGGGTAAGTCTCTTCCTAAAGTCACTCATTACTTTTTGCAGCACCTATATCGGAATTCGTTCAACTTCTTCCTGAATTTGATGTTTCAACTCCTGAACTGTGTGGGGTGCTGGAGCTTTGAAAACTTTTGAGATTTCAGATACCCCCAGAGAAAAAAATCACATGTGGAAAGATCAGGTGACCTGGCTGACCATATGATGTCCCCATATCTGGAAATAACATGGTTAGGAAACAGGTTATTCACAACTTCCATGGAAGCTCGTGTGGTGTGGCACATAGTCCCATCTTGCTGGTAAAAGATTTCTTCCTTGACTGGAAGGCAAGAAAGTGCAGGAGCTAAGCTCTGCAACATGGGAATGTAACCTAGTCCAGTCACAGTTACAGCCCTTTCCCACTCATCTTCATAGAAGTACAGGCCAATAATTCCAAATGAAGATATCGCACACCATTCTGTGACTTCGGAACTGTGAAGTGGTCTCTCATAAATTTCTTTGAGGTTTGTGGCTGACCAATAGTGGAAATTTTTCTTGTTAACAAACCTCGACAAATGGAAATGAGCTTCATCGCTCATCAATAAGTAGACAACATCTTGGTTTTGATTAATTAATTGCAAAAAAAAAAAAAAAGTCTGGCAGAAATTGACTGTTTTCATAGTTGTGTTCGTGTAGTGCATGAGTAATTTGAATTTTATAGGGGTAGAAGTGGAGGTCTTTGTGCAAAATCCGTCAAATGCTGTCTTCGGATAGTCCAAATGATGTAGCGCGCACTTCATTCAATGGCTTCTCTCACTGCCACTACATTCCCAAGTGTACGTGCTGTTTTATGCTACCACCTTTCTTCTTTAATGTACAACCAGTAGCCTCAAAGTTTTGAACCCAGGTCTTGATGGCATGGGCAGATGGAACAGAACGATTGCAATGAATACCAAACTCTCTTTGAAATTCACGCTGAGTGATCACGAAACTGTCACCGTTTCTGTAAAATGCTTTCACAGCAAAAGTACATTGTGCTCTAGTCTATGGCTCCATTGCAACTAAAATGCTTTGAAGTAGGCTGCTGGGTGGCAGTACTGGCATCCCCCCCACTCCAACCAATCGAGGGAAAAACACCACTACCAAATTACCCAATTCATTGATGCACCCTGCATATGCAGACTCATCTGGAGGCGCTAATTTTATCCCTGCGTAGTCTATTCCTGAACCTTCATGCAGCACCTCAGCAAACCTTAGTCTCCATCTTCATAATATCCCAGAAGGGTGGGAGGCCACAGCATTGTTTGAAAGAGCTGCCCATGCAATGCTACTACCTCCCTTCCATCACATTACAGTAGTAACACCAACTAAAATATTTGTAAATTAATAAACACTTCACCTCTAGTCTAAATATCAGGAAAACGTTGATTCAGGACACCTAAAACGTGCAGTTTGTGCTCAGTTAAAGATTTAAAATGAAAGGAGCAAATGTATGTGTCATAAGCAAAACATATTATACAAACTTTAACTGCACTCTAGAGCTGAAAATCAATGGCATGTTTTCACCACTTAAGTGAATTAAAAAAGTTGCTGATCACAAAAAGAACAAATTTAGCAGTAAAAGTTAAGCTATCACTGTAACAGGCCGTGGGGGCCCATAGGGTGGGGAAGTTGTCAGTCTTATACATTGGCTGCCCTTTACCACCAGGATGATTCATTTAACCAGCAAAGGCCCAAAGTTTATAGGAGTCAGACATATGGAGATCCCAATCTGTCCAGCTCATTAATTCTGCTCACAGGTAATAATAAAGAAACGACATCTTCAGCGTTTTGCATTTTGCAATGCAGAGGTGATGCACTGTGTGACACAAATCAAGAAAAATTAAGATGTGGAATCTGTATAAGAGGGAAGTGTGTTTTCACGAAAAAGGAACACCCTCAAAATCTGCAGTCTTTATCATTGATCTGTACTTTTCTTTATTCTGTAAATGGCAGGGTTCACTGTATCTACAGAAGCAAAGGAAAGAGAATGTACAAAGGTTGTTTGTTGAGGACTAACTTTTTATACATTTCCTATAGCATTGTTATATGTAAACATTTTAGTTTAATACATTAGCTTTACTTTGTCCCTTCAGCTGGCCTGAGGGCACGTGAATTATTGGTTAATGTTGTGGTGTGAAATCATATTTTTGTTCCTGCTTCTGTTGTCACATCAGGGGAGAGTGAAATGAAGGCAGGACACAACCTCCTGATGCTAATATGGGAGATGCATGATGGGCCACAGCACTTCCTAGTAGACCTATACTGACATTCATAAATAATGACTAATTTTACCAAAATTACTCTTTATTTGCACAAAGTGAATAAAATGGATATATATAATATGAAAGTCATGTACATCTTCCTACCTATCAGTTTCATCTGCAGCAGTACTGAGTTGGTCTCCACAAAATTTTGTATGCAGGATCCATACTAAAAATAAAAAGATTAATTTAATTTTGGTCTCTATTAGTCAAACATAACTTCCATTGTGATACTTTACCTAGTCTTTATGGCTTTCCTAAAGGTCATCCCAGTGAAAATTAATCAACATGAAAGTTGCTGCAGTCAATTAATGTTCTTAGGTTTAAATACAATATTAAGACCTACACTTTTTATCTGAAATACACTAACTTAATTATGATATATACTTAAACAACCCCTGAGAACATTATGTTACCTCCATGCAATGCAGTATCTTAAATGCTGAATACCTGGACTCAACAATATATTTGTATTTGCTGCCAACTAGGCAAATTGGGGATGAAAAATCACAAGGAACACATCTGGAACATGTACTCATTTCACACTGAAGAGGAGGAACTAATCTAACATCCTGTCTAATATACACATATTTCTGCAGCAATGAATAAAAAAAAAAAAAAAAAAAAAAAAAAAAAAAAAAAAAAAAAAAAAAAAAAAAAAAGCACTATATTCTGACTGTAGTCAGGTAGTTGCTTACATACAATATGGAAGAATGTACTGCCTCCATCTGTAGGGTCAAAGAGTAAGTCAAGCAAACAACCTGTACGAACAAAGCAGCAAGAAGAGCTTCCCCTATGCAGTTAAACATCCTGGATATCATAAAATATTTTGCTTTAAATTAAAAGTAGAGACGACAGTTTCTAGGAGTTCATTCCTTCACTGTTGTACTTCAATGGAACTCTACACTACTTTTCACCGATATTTACATTTTATCTTCCAGCAGTTTTGTTTCCTTTGCTGCATATGTATATTATGCAAAATGTTAAATTGGAATGTTTTCTCAGCTCCACTTTGAAACGAACACACTTCCCATACATGTTTCTTATGATTCTGCATCCTTCATTTGCCTAGTCAAAAACAGATACAAGTACACTGCTAATCAAATTACACAACAGCAGACCCTGTGATGCATAAAAACGTAGTGTCCCTGTTCTTAACTGCAAGGGTAACTCAATAAGTAAGTTACAAATGGATATAGAACTTAAAGAGTACTGATTTGAAAAATGCTTTTATTTCTCAACATTATCTCCCTGTACATTGAGGCACTTGTCCCATCATTTCACAAGCCCCTGAAAACCAGCAGCATAAAATTCTTTGGGCTGCTGTTGGAACCAGGCGGTTATAAGCCCTATTTCTTTATGTTAATAGTGTATACTTGTAACTTTCATGTGCATTAATTTTTAAAGAATAATACATTCAAACCTGCTATATGATTGGGTTATGGAGAGTTGTCTTCTAGGATATAATGCTGTACAGTCGACTAAAAATCAACTGATGCTTCAGAGGAATGTGTCACCTCCAACTTCAGAGTTGAAGAGTAGGCAAAGCAAGTCAGCATGAAGTTTTGCTTGTGCCTGCTTGGCTTACTCTTCAACTCTGAAGTTGGAGGTGACATGTTCCTCTGAAACACTGGTCGACTTTCAACAAACTATGTGGCACTACACCCCAGCAGGCAAACTCTTCATAATCATTGCTATGACAACCTCAAAACCCACACGACTGGGTCTGTTTGCAAGGGACCCAAAAACTTGAGCTCAGAGAATTCCATCTTCTCTCCTCAGGCTTAGACTACTTTTATCTGTCAACACATACAGTGTACTATGAACTCTGTGCAGCTGATGTAGGACTGATATGCAGACTAAATTATCAGCTTGAAAACAGTATATCTCTAGTGTAGGAAGTGTGAAGTGCTCAGAAAAATTGTATAAGTTGTTAAAAATTATACCATTATCCTCTCCTATACTGCATGACAAGACAAAGGCAATATTAAATAATAAAGCCAATTAATTATGCCATAAACAAGTTACAATAGAGTAATATTCATCTGTGCAATAACACAGAGCCTTCTATTTCATTCTTCCACAAAAGCAGTTACTGCATAGGACCTGAAACTTGAAATGCTCAAACTGTAAAAGGAAAACTGCGGTAAATTACAAAATTAATAAAAACACAGACTAAAAGAAGGGCCAATTACTGGTTGTACAGCAGCAATGATTGTCACATGCTAAGGG